GGGGGGCCCTGCTCCCCACCTGCCTGGGAATCGGGGCCCGCTGGCTTTGAGATCCGTGGGGGCTGAAGTCACCTGGGGCCCTTCCCCCCCGCAGACTAGCCGCGCCCTCCCGGGGTGAGTCACCGCAGCTTTGTTCTCCGCGGCGCCTGGCTACAACGTTGCGATCGGTTCCTGCGGGCGGAAGAAACTGTCCTGGGCCCTTGTAAAATTCGGGGTAGCGCCTAGCGGGCCCAGCGGAGAGCGGGGCGGGGCGGGGCCACGCAGGCATCCCAGGTTAAGCAGGGGAAGGGGAAATCGAGGCACGAGGGTGGGGAAACTTGCCCAAGGTCACGCAGGAGGCCAGTGGCAGGGGGGTTGAAGTCTCTAGGGCTGTGTAAAGGTGGCGGGAGGGGTGTGATGTCTGCACAGACATCAGGGTGGCATTCTCAGCTCTGTGCAAGGCTGCCTGACCTTGGGCAGCTCACTATGCTGCCTCAGTTTCCCCACACTGTCAATGGGAGAATGGTTTTGTAGCGTGCTTGGAAACCTACCTATGAACCCTGCTAAGGTCTTATGGCAGGGTACATGGCAGCCGGCGTGAGCATTGGCGTGGATTTGTCTTGAAAGTGAGTTTGAATTTTGCAGGTGTGGTGTTGGCCTGGCTGAATATTATTTTTTTTCTTTTTGGCCATCAAAACTAAAAACCTTTTATGACTGAAAGTGTGAATTTGGGTCAGACACTTCAGGCTGTTCCTTGTGAGAGGGAGACAGCGTGAACATTAATATCCCCTCAGAAATGGACCAATTTTTAGTCAAAATATTTGGATTTTAAAAATTGGATCCACCCCCACCCATCTCAAAAGCCCCCTAACAACAGTGTTTTGAACAAAACAAAACAAAACAAAAAAATTAAACTCTGGGAAAATCAAATCCACCAAAAGCATTCAGAATTGGCTGCCAAAACTTTTTCCAATCACCTCTAACTCTGAACCTGCTTGGGCCTGATTTTAAAGCCTGACCCAAACCGAGAACCCGAAGTCTTGTTTAGAACAGAACTGACCCAAACTCGCCACTTTCCCCAAGCACCTATTTACACTGCAGCCAGCTCTCTCTAGGGCCAGGCCAGTGCCCACAACCCCACCATCTGTCTGTGGCTGCAGCCAGCCTGGGGGGCATGCCATGCGGTGCCCACAGAGCTCTGCGCGGTGGCAGAGGCCACTGGGAACAAGACATACAGTCACTGCTGTGTCAACCCCACCAGCAGAGATGATCCAAGACCATCTGAGCTGGGTTGTTCTTAGAGCTCTCCTGAACCGGACACTTATGCCACTGGGCTTGGGTCAGGTTGCGGGTCTCTGGTGGTCAGTGTTTACTTCCAGCCTGAGACAGCAAGAGCTGCAGGTAACACCCTGGCAATGCTGTAACCTTCCTGCTCATTTCCATATCAAGTGCACAAATCCTGAATGTTCTGTTTTCGGAGACACGCAACAACTGCAGTCATTGTCAAAGTGGCACTTTCTGCTCCAGCTACCGGTGCCTCCAGAAATAGGTAACATAAGAGCAATGCAAAAAAGCAAACTCCATTCTGGGCTGCATTAACAGGCGTGTTGGGAGCAAGACATGAGAAGTCATTCTTCCGCTCTGCTCTGCGCCCAGTTGGAGTATTGTGTCCAGTTTTGGGCACCATTTTTCAGGGAGGATGTGGAGAAATTGGAGAGGGTCCAGAGAAGAGCAACAAAAATATTTAAAAGTCCAGAAAACATGAGCTACGAGGGAAGGCTGAAAGAATTGGGTTTGTTTAGTTTGGAAAAGAGGAGACTGAGAGGGGACATGAGAGCAGTTTTCTAGTATCTAAAAGGGTGTCACAAGGAGGATTGAGAAAAATTGTTCTCCTTCATCTCTGATGATAGGCCAAAAAGCAATGGTCTTAAACTGCAGGAAGGGAGGTTTAGGTTGGACATAAGGAAAAACTGCCTGTCAGGGTGGTTAAACCCTGGAATAAATTGTCTAGGGAGGTTGTGGAATCTCCATCACTGGAAATATTTAAGAGCAGGTTAGACAGACACCTGTCAGGGATGATCTGGATGGTGGTTGGCCCTACAGTGAGGGTAGGGGACTGGACTTGAAGACTTCTTGAGGTCCCTTCCATGTTCTATGATGGTGTTCCCCCTCACTTTTTCCATCTATGTGCACATTTATTTATTTGCACTGAGGTATGTGCGAACGTGCACCACCAGTAGAAACACAAACCTAGCTGTGGGTGCTCTGCTAATCAGCTGGGTGGCATTTGGAGCTACTGCCTCTCGAAGGGGTGGTTAGCTACAGGGATGGGATGGGGAAACCCTTGCACGGCTGTAGCAAGCACCCATGCTACAGCAGCATTGCTGCTGTTTGTGAAGTGTAGTGCTTGTAGCACAGAGTTGCAACCTCTGTGTAGGCTCCATAGTGTAGGTGTAGCCAGAGCTTAATGCAGCTTCTGTACAGCCTTGTCTTAAGTTGGGAGGAGGCTGAGCAGCGCCCCCTCCTGAAAAAGTCCCACATCCCAATTACTTACACGAGAAAGTGTTTCTCTGTAGTGCTTTAAGGCACGGGTGTTGGGCGTTTGACCCCCAGGCCAGGCCAGCTGGGTGTACTTATGTACATGAGAGACGTTCCGATTCAGCTTTTATGTTAACTACACACATTAAGCTTCTAGCTTTTGTGAGTGTGAAGACCCACGTCTGATCTTGCACAAAGTGTAACTTAGTGCATCAGTGTCTGCTGGAATGTGCAGTAAACTGGAACACTGGCTCTGAGGAGTGTGAGTCCTCCATTCATAACCATGTGATGTTAACACGGTGTCTAATGATGCCCCATTTAAATGGTCAACGTTAGCACTTCATTGCTGAGTCCTAGAGCAGACAGAGTTAGAGGGGCGTGGGGCTAAAGCCAATGGGAGGATTGATATTTTTTTTGCAGAGAGGAAGATCCAGAGGGAAGAAAGGAGGATTGAGCCAGGGAAAAGAGAGAAAGGAAAAAAGAGGATTAAGAAG